CCTGCCACCCCTGCCACCCCTGTCACCCCATCCCCACTGCCCTACCTCAGTCTGTGCCTCCACCACAACAGCGACGTCCTCAATGCGGATCCCGAACTCGCCATCCTGGTAATACCCTGGCTCTGAGGGTCGGGAACACGCCTGGTGAGCCCCCCAGCCCCAGAGGCTCCCCCAGCCCAGCCAGTGGGGCTGGGTCTGGCCCCTGAGTGGGGCTGAGAGCTGGCACTGGCTGGGCTCTGTGCCCAGGGCTGTCCCAGGGTGCCAGGGGGTGCTGGCACGTACCAATGGAAGTGAACATGCCGGCCTCCAGCGGCACGTTGTTGGACTGGAAACCCACAGGCCCTGCAGGGACATGGGGCAGGATGAGCTCGGGGGATGGCTGCAGGGACACCCCAGCAAGGACCACAGAGCCACCGAGGCAAGGGTCACTACAGGGACAAGGATCATCCCAGTAAGGACCTTGGGACCACCTCAGCAAGGATCACGGGGCCACCCTGGCAAAGACCACAAGATGTTGCAAGTAGAGATTTCCCTGCCCCTTATGGGGGCTCTGCTGGGTGATGAGAAGCCCCCAGTGAGCTACTGTCCTCGTCCCTGTCCCTGTTGCTCAGCCCAATGCCCAGCACCAGCGCTGGTGGCACCTACACTCGTGGACTGAGAGGAAGTTGCCGATGCCATGGCCGGTCCCATGGCCGTAGTTGAGTCCAACGTCCCAGAGTGCCCGGCGGGCGAAGGCCTCCACCGTTCTCCCTGGGGAATGGAGAGGTGGGATGGGGGCCAAGGAGTCTATGGGGCCCCCCGTGCCCTCCTGCTCCCTGTGCCAGGGGTTCTGCACAGGTTCTGCACTGGGCTCGGCACCCACCTGCTGTGCTGGATGGGAAGACGAGGCGGGAGAGGTCGATGTTGCCCATCAGCACACGGGTGTACGCTTCCTGCGGGGCACGGCGGGGCTGAGTGAGGTGGTGCCAGACAGCCACCCCTGCACATCCAGCCCTGGCCAGGACCGAGTACCACAGGGGGTGCTGGGCATCTCAGGGGTGTCCCGGGCAGTGCAGGGGGACCTTGGCTGCCATGGGAGGGGTTGGTACCTTCTGGAGCGGGGTGGGCTCGCCCCAGTGCACTGTACGAGTGATGTCTGTTGTCCCATCCCTGCAAAGGGGGGATGTGAACGGGGATGATGCAGCCCCAGCGCTGGCTTTGGGGGCCCCTGGATGTGGGGCAGTGCTGGGGGTCTCTGTTCAATACGCACAGGTATTGCCCACCGGTGTCAAAGAGGTACATCTCCCTCACAGACAGCGTCCGGCTGCTCCCGTTGGAGGGGCTGCAGGGGAGGGGGGTCAGAGCCCTCTCCCAGCTGCCCACTGCCCACCTGCCCCTGCCCACCGCTGCCCCAGCCGCACCTGTAGTGAGCCAGAGCTGCGTTGAGCCCGCTGGCAGAGATGGACTGGAAG